AAAAAAAATACCTTTCATAATATTCATTGTTTTTGTCCCAGCCATTTTGGAATTTTCCTACCGAACAAACAAACTACAGCAAATTCACTGAATTTTTTTTTTTTTTTAATATACCGCCCACATTGTTCTTTTTCCCATTACCACCTATCTGGGACGATAGCAGTTCCTGAAATAAGAAAAGAAGAAAATATTTTTATGTGTATATATCGAGTGACTCTGAAATAAGTTCGGAAAATAAAACCACAACATCACGAAGTAGAGAAAATTTTAAGTAATTTCTTTTATCTAGTCCTAATTCAGGGGAAAAAATATCAAGATCTACACCTCATTCAGTGCCATTTGTTTTCATCTAAGCAACACACAGCAAAAATAAAGAAAAAATTTAGTCACAATGGAAACTGAATAAATCATTGCCGCATGATTTACATTCAACAAGATGTTCCGTATTTGTTTCTTGAAACTGGAGCAGCAATTTAATTACTTTGAATAAAATAATTAAAAATATTCAAAGCAGTTATATATCAGATTACGATGGAAATGGAAACTAATGTTCCGATTTCGGACTTTTGAAATCTGGTCACCTTACAGATGTTCTATTTATAATTTGCCAAGCAGGTACTTACAAAATAACATTTCAAGTAAACAAGTTTACAGAAATAATTCTTAGAAATTATTACAATGAAAAAAACTTGTCTTTGGTATATTTCTAATAAAGCCGTTGTATTTTTCGCTCTGAATATAATTATTAATTAAGCATTACGAACTCACTGACGAAGGTCACTTTTTAAAGAATACGACGACCCACATCTAATTGACCATATAATCTTTAACAATAAATTTCAAATAATACCATAGTGGTTTTTTTAAATTTTGATAAGGTGTTGTAAAACTATTTCTGTTTCTGTTTTCATTCCAGGTACTGTATTTATGTGGGCAAAGGATGCCGCACGTGGGATTTTAGGGGCGGAAACGTATACCTGCTTAGATACTGTAAATACAGTGGTGTCCAACGAAGACAACAACAGAAACATACCCGATGTATTGATTATTATTAGAGAGCGGATTTTATGAAATTTGCATATCCGTTATTTTTTGCATATAAGTCTTGATATTTAATATGTGAACGAATCATGCTAATTAAAAATGAATACATAGTTTGTTTATATCGTAGATTTCGATCCGATCGAATTTCGAGACGATCGAAATTGTCAAACTCACTTTAATCTACGGGCGTTTATATCACGGAAAACAGTCCGTTCGATCTACTGATTTGTAGTTTGAAATTGGTTTGAGTTTGACGTTTGGAGAAAGATAATAGTGTAACATTATTTCTTTTTATCTGTGAAGTGGTCAACATAAATAATAAACCTATAAAAGTTCAAGCCCGTTTACATCGCATCTTCAAGCATTTGAATCCGTCTTAGATCCGATCGGTTCGATTCGATCCGACTAGTTTGTCGGATCGAATTTTGATAGTCAATCCGCTTCAACATTCGATCTGCAGCGTTTATACCATTAGTTTCAATCGGATCGGACTGAGTCAATCGGCTTGAAATCCACGATATAAACTAAGTAACAGCTATAAAAAAATTGCATATTTGCATATATTTACCTTCTGCTGCATATTTCACGTAACGGGTCCATATTTTGCATTTTTATCAATTTTTGTGCTACTTTGAAAAAAAAAAATGCCATTCGATCGGCATTTTTCTAGAAAAACGAAATTTCATTAATCATATTGCAAATATTGTCCTGAGCTTCAAATAACTGGGAAAGGTTTGGGTTTTATAGTAGTTTCGAGGAACCACCGGGTGTTAAGCCATCCTTCCAGGTAAATTCGGGTCCTAATTACTTTTGGAAATACCGTTCATTTCAATATTTTTGTTCGTTGTATTAATGGTGTTTTATGATGGTCGAAGGGACGTTATCCTATTATTTTTCATCGTGAGTTTGCATTTAAGTATTTAAAGCGATAGAGATGTGTGTCAATGTGTAGATAACTCAAATTAATTTATGAATTAAACCTTTTCCTGAACTTATTCTTCAAGAAGGAACTGTGTTTTGTTGTGACTGCTCTAATCCGATAAGTATTTTTACATCTGTGGACGCAGTACGCAGTTTTTCTATTTACAAATACATACTTTAGAATCACCGGAAAAATTTTTGTTACAATATTTCGAAAAATATTTAAAAATAAATTGTTACCAAAATAGTAATTAAATAGTCGATTACTACTATTTTTTAATTCGTTCTGTTTACAAATATTTATTTTTGAGTATAAGAATATTATCTTAAAAAATGTCATTTATTTGTCAGTGAGATCTAATTAAGCACTTTGCAATGTGATTTATGTATTTTTTGTAATAAAAGGTGAGGTGTTTTTGCAATTTATAAACAAATTTAGTTCGGTTATTACGCTTTTTTTTATTTTTGGAGCATATGCAATTGCATATCTCTGCATATATTAAGAAAGTTATTGCATATTTGCATAAATTTGATGCATGTCATATGATCATATTTCCCAAAATTTTGCTGCATATTTTCCGCTCTCTAGTTATTATACATACACTCTATTACCGACATTAATAAAAGTCTACACTATTTCGTCATATCTGCTGCTTTATTATCAGTTTTCAGTTAGTTACATATTAGATATGAAATTAAGTGAATTTTTTGAATAAATAATAATTTAAAGATTAACCACGAAAATACTCAATTATAATTATAAATTATACATTACCAGTTTATTTTAGAGCCCAAGAGTACATTGGAAAAATCTAAACTTTTGAAAATTTAATGTTAAACAGATATACCTATAACTGAATGCGAAAGTCAATACACAAAACTCGATGTTCAATTATTGTTTCGTATTCAAATTATTATTTATTTTCCTTACGATGAAAGTGAAGAAATTGTTTAATTCATTTTTATTTAAGAACGATATCGCTGACCTTGAAATAGATTAGTTTTTTAATTTCGTTTTTTTTTCTTTTTGTTGCTTTTGTTCCCGATCAACATATTTTGCATTAGAATTAATAAAATAATGAAATATATCATTTTATTTATCGAGCTCATTTCAAAATTCTGTATATGTATAATTGTTCCTTTTTGGCAGTGACGCATAGGCAGAGGTTAAAAAATAATGTCTCATTACTAGTCTTAATTCGTATTACCTGTTAGATCGAACATTTTTTAATTCTGATCATAAACTATGTGTATTAAGTCTTTTGTTCTGTTTTATAAAGCGCAGGTCGTTATGGACATATAAAAATAAATTATAAATAAATATAATTACAGGAAATATAATATGAAAAAAAAATTAAGAGCAACTCACTATTGGCGTCATCTCGGTTGTGCAAGATTTAAGACAGAGAAGAAATTTCTTTTTTTAAGACTCAGCATCTTTTGTTTATGAATACCTATACTATTTACTTGCAACACAAACATAAATAATAAATATAAAATAGAGCTATATAATACTCGATATGTATGTTTTTAAATGTTTTTTGCTGTTGCCCTGTCAGAAACGTTAATTTTTGATTTAACATGCCATTTTGTAAAATCAACTGAAAAACACTTTGCATAATTAACTAATAAAAATAAAATATTCCGAAGCATGTATATATATATATATATTAATCAGATATCTGGTAACTACAGTTAACATTACTTATTGGTTACATAACCGTAGTACTCCATTGTGATGTTACAAGGCTTACCTGCCAACTATATCGCTGCGACACAATAATGAGATATCTAGTAAATGCAGTTAACATTAGGTGTTAGTTACATAACAGGGGTACCACAGTGTGATGTTTAAATGCTTATATGCAAGCTATATCGCTGCGACATAATAATGAGATATGTAGTAAATGTAGTCAACATTACGTGTTTGTTACATAGCATGAGTACTCCATTGTGATGTTATATAGCTTACGTTCCAGGTATATCGTTAAGACATAATCATGCGATGTACTTATTGTTCTTTTGTGAGTACGTACCTGTCACGTCAACATCACAACTGGTTTACTGGGTTAGTTCTTAGATTTTGCAATGTTTCGGTTTTCAATTTTTCCATTTTCTGATGTTTCGATTTCTCGGTTTTTCAATTTTTCGATATGTATTTTAATTTTTCAATTTTTAAGTTCTAGATTTTCCGTTAATTTTTTTGTTTTCCTTGATGTTTTGATTTCTCGATTATTCGATTTTTCAAGTTCTCGGTTTAGATTTTTTGGTTTTCCAATTCTTGGATTTTTAAATTGTTTAATTTTTAGATTGTTCAATTTCTCGATTTATAGATTTTTCAATTTTTTGGTTTACCGATTTTTTTCATTTAAAATGTTTCAGTTATTAAGTTTTCGATTTTTCAATTTAGGTGTAATTTGAAAACGGTATTAATAATACATTTAGGCGAATAAACTAATAGACGGGCTTGATAAGCCTTGTTTGCTCTACAGTGTCTAAATTGTGTTTGAATAATATAATAATTTTGACATATTAATATTAAAATTAATATGTCAAAAGAATACGAGAAATGATTATTCTGTGCTGAAGGTATGTTGTGGGCCCCCTGTCATAAATTATCATTATTCTGCATTATCGGCTTACATGCTTTTATGACCCACGTCCGGTAGTTGTCTATCCCACCGCGTCAGGTAGATTTAAAGAAGAATTGCTGGTTACGTTTAAGGCAACAAATGGCGCCCAATTCAAACTTGTCTCTTGTCTACCGTTCCCCCTTAACAACACTGGTGCTAAGTTGAAATCAGATGCTAATAACATCTGTTCAAAATTTGGTATGGTTCGTTGATAATGAAAATACGAACATGACATCCACATGATGTCACACAAACTGCGCAATATCATACCATGTCTTCTTGTACCATGGTTGCGACTATTTAAATAAACGTCTAGGTATAAAGCAATATATGTCAATGGTTTTCGGCAGTCTATTTTATATAACTCGGCAGTTACACAACCCACAAACGTCATTCCAGGGTTGCCTCAAGGTCATACCTATTGTCATAATAATAGACAAGGTTATGTTTAGATAGTCAATCAATATTATTCCACTAATTACGCGTCCTAAAAATGGCCAAACAATCCAGCGTTAAATCTAGACGTAAAATAGTAACTCCTGTCTTTCATTTACAAACTAAAGACGAAGATGACAGTCAACTTTCAAAGGCCATGATTAAAATTGTGCGAAGAACAGGACAGCTCAATTTATCTGGACGTAGCCTGGCTAATGGTAAAGAAAGCAACCTTTGTAATTTAGCACTAAAGTGACGTGATGTTTCCAGTACCTGAAAAAATGTTCACAATGTATGATCTAACCCCCGAAGACACTGCCACTTACATTGACTTTGATAAGAAACCTGACGAGGAGAACTGGTGGCATTTTAAGTCGTTGACTTATTTAGATTTAAGCTCAAATGTTTTACAAGAGATCCCCGGAAAAATTGGAATGTTCGAAGATCTGACCGTGCTCAATGTAATTATACGACTAACTAAGTTAAACACGATTAACTTTACTTCCAGTTGCAAGATAACAACATATTAAGTTTACCACATGAAATTGGTAATTTAACTAAGTTAACAAAACTAAATCTTAGTCATAACAAAATTAACGCGCTGCCAATGGAATTTTATAATTTAAGTGAACTTCAAGTGCTTTCATTAGCTCATAATCAGTTGGGGAAATTGTCAAAGAGATTTGGGGATTTGGTGATGTTGCAACAACTGGTATTAGTAGTATAACTTCAATAACACAAACTTAAAAGTACGTTCCAGGATTTATCCCATAACGTTTTAACTAAACTACCTCCAGGGTTGGGATTTTTGGTGCGTTTAACTGAAATAAACCTCTCACATAATAAGTTAGTTGACTTACCACCTGACATTGTTAATTTAAGGGGTACATTTACATCGTCAAATGAACCATTTAATATTTAAGATTTTAAGGTTTGCTCAAGCTTGATGTCACTCATAACGATTTAGTGTGTCTCCCGAGTTTGGGTGAACTCACTAAATTACAATTTTTGTACGCCCAACATAATAACATTGAAGAAATCCCGGATTTTGAAGGGAGCACCCACGTCCAACAAATTTATTTTGGCAACAATTACATCAAGGTAGTATAAGTATACTTGGTTGCATAACTCTCATATTTTTAATACAGGAAGTGACCCCCGAATTTTGCGAAAATATGCCTAATTTGAAGATTCTAGATTTAAGAGATAATAAAATTGAAGCCTTACCGAACGAGATAGCTATGTTGCAACACATGATACGTTTAGACTTGACCAACAATGATTTAACTGAGTATGATTGACACACTATATTATTTTTTTATTGTTTATGTGTTTTTAGTCTTCCAAATTCGTTGGGTTTATTGCCTCACTTGCAAAATTTACAACTTGATGGTAATAAACTGAAAAAAATCAGGGCTGATATTATTAAAGCAGGCACGTGTCGCCTACTTAAGCATTTAAAAGAGAAGTTTGATGGTGAGGAGCTTGAAAATATACAAAAAGTGTCAAATGTTGCCATTTATGAACCTAAAACCTTCCCTGATAGGTATGTCCAGTTTTTGTGTTGACAATTTTATTTAAGTTGTTTTCTAGGTATACTATGAAACATTCCCGTGCTTTGAATTTAACAATAAAGCAGCTAACTTCAGTACCTGATAGTGTTTTTGAGGAAGCTAAATTAGCAGAAGTTACAATGATTGATTTGTGTAAAAACAAACTACAAACTGTCCCTGGTGGATTAAATTTGTTGGTTGATAATTTATCCGAATTAAATTTATCCATGAATATGCTCACTGAAATCCCCGAATTTATAAGCAGCTGTGCCAATTTGAAATATTTTGATTTGGGCAACAATTGTTTGAGTGCTTTGCCTGATTCTTTGGTTGATCTAATTGGTTTAAGAGAGCTCATACTCAGTAGTAACAGATTTATTAGTATCCCAGAGTGTGTATATGGTATGGTAGGATTGGAGATTTTATTGGCTAGTGATAACAAAATTACTGAGATTAATGTAGATGGTTTGAAAAACCTCAAAAGAATTGCGACTTTAGATTTGACAAACAATAATATCAGTCAGATTCCGCCAGAACTAGGAAACGTGACGCAAATCAGGTGAGTTATCAATATTTTCATTCTTGAATCAAAAACTTGTTTCAGGTCACTTGAGTTAAAAGGCAATTGCTTTAGACAACCCAGATATGCGATTCTGGAACAAGGAACGGCCTCAATTTTGAGTTATTTGAGGGATAGAATACCAAAATAGTGTGACTGTAAAATTAATGGTAACTCAGTATTAATACTCTGGTGATGGTTAGCAGTAAAATTTGAATTTGTACAAACGGTGCCATTAGTTATTATAGGTAGCTCATGTAAATACTTTATACATTTTACTATACATATACCACTTTATTTGTTGTTTAGAATGTCTTGGTGATCGGTTTGTTGTAATGTAACTTAGTTTTTATTGCCTGTATGGTCGTTAGTATTTTAAAGTTTGTAACACCAACACTCAGAAAACAATTTGTTTTTAGTAACTGTAAATAACAGCTAAATAAATGCATGATTTGTGTTTCTACTAACGATTTTTCCGTTTATTTAATGTGGTAATTTGTATAATTTGGATGAAAAATAAGTACTGGTACACCACAGATTCCACATGAAGGTTTATTTCAGGTCGACGGTTATGCGTAGATCTATGGATGAATTAGATACATTACATTACAAAATATATGCAGCGTTTACAGAGTGATAGGAAGGTATTTATTTTTTTTACTCTATTATAAACAAAATTAAAAAGAACACATCAACGATGTTTAAACGATGATTCAAATTTTCTGTTTAACTGATTACTTTAAAAATCAAGTTTAACTTGCCTCGTTTTTTTTTATTTTCGAGATCATGATGGTAAGAAAACAAGGGCACCTTCCAAAACATATTTAAATTTATTTTTCAGGCTACTAGAATTCATAGAGGAAGAAATGATTCAAAGCAGACATGACGAAACACCAAAAATAAAATCATTTCTGGAACCTTTCAAGAAAGAAAAATACAACTGCTATTTTTAAGGAACAATTCCATTTTTTGAGTAATTTTGATAATTAATAACAAGAGTAAACATTAACAAAATGGTCAAAAGTTGTTTCGACAGAACTTCCCTCGCCCCTGAAGTACGTACAATGAAACTTCCAGCATTTTCGAAAAATTGTAAAATTTGATTTTGCGGATTTTATCTTTTTATGAGAACCCCTATAAGTTTAAATAAATATATGTAAATATGTAATGCTAAAGTAAATGTAAAGAAGCATGCGTATGTTCCAAATAAGCTTTTACTTTACAAAATTTTGTGGTGACGTCAATCATCATTTTTCAGGAACACGTATTTCAACTTAGGTTGGTGCAATAATACTAATAATAAGAATGAGAAACGATATTGCAAACAAAACTAAGGCGGCAGCTCTGTGTGCAGGTGGCTGCCTGGCTGCAAGTCCTAAATTATTGGAACGCCCGGAAGTGGCCAGTTTTGCATTTTGCACAATCAAAATTATCGTACCACCCTTAAAATTTTGAATATTTCCATTTGAATATATGTAGAACAAACATATCGGTCGAAATCACATTAAATATTGTAATTATTTATTATTTTGTATTGTTTTGCAATACATTTATCCTAACTACATGTAATCCGGTTCACCAGAACTGGAAGTGATATATAGTGCCATCTGAGCAATATGCGTAATGTTTAAAATGTTTATGTTTATACTCGTACATCGAAAGAATGTCACGTAGACATTTGTTTGATTTGAATGAGTTTATTGCCTCAAAACAGATCACAAAAATTATTAATCAGCCTCAATTGAACACAATATTCTGAATGTTATTATTATAGTTCTTACCTCATCATTATTTTATTGTTATAAAGACGAGCGCATTCTCACATTCGAGAAAACGGGGTGGATCATTCTTAATTTGATCAATTGACTGATTCATTATTTTTTTTTTAAGTCAGCTTGTATAAGCAAATAAAAAAAAATATTAATGCAGTGATAAATCACAAGTATAGACACAACGTACTTTAGGTAGATAGAATTTAGTCAGCAAAATTTTGAGGAGACGTCATAAATTTTTAGGGGGGATGAGCAAATACATTTTGATCAAAAATTTACCATGCTTATGATAACTTTAAAACATCTTCAAGATTTCAAAGCATTCGGTTTTGCAGATGCTAAATTAAATTGCAAAATGTTTTATAATTTTGATTTTTTTTCAAAAATCTTTAAAAATTTAATTGCAAAGTCGTTATTATTTCGCTATAAGAAATTACCATGTAAAACATGTTTTTGAGTATCGTGTTATTCAAAGAAAACTATGTATATTAAGAAAAAATTAGAGCCAAAAATTAAGCTCCGCCCATACCTGCCCTGATCCAAATAGTACTGAAGTTTTCATTCGTTGGCAGAACTAGGGGCGGAGCCTAATTGCAAAATCCATATTTCCTTACAAAAATTTACCATTTTAAACGTGTTTTAAGTTTCTAAGAATAAAAAAAATCATCACAATTGAGATCGGGTGGGTGGGCGGGGTTTATATTTTACCTTGTTTTCTTAATATACATAGGTACATAATATTTTTTGAAGAACAACGATATTCAAAAGCATGTTTTTAATTTCTTGTAAAGAAAGAAGTATTTTGCAGTTAAGCTCCGCCCCCTTGGTTCAAAACGAATACAAAAAAATCATCACAATTGAGATAGTATAGACTTCTTTTCACAACATGAAACGTAAAACAAATTTTTTATAAGGAAATATCGATTTTGAAATTAGGCTCCGCCCCGTAATTGCAAAATCCATATTTCCTTGCACAAATGTACCATTTTAACCATGTTTTAAGTTTCTTGTTGTGAAAAGATGGCTAAGAATATTAAGAAAAAAAAAAACCCACCCGCCCTATCTCAATTCTGATGATTTTTTTATTCGTCGCAAGTCGAGGGACGGAGCATAATTGTAAAATATTATTTTTAATCGTAAGTAATCGTGTTACACAAAAAAAACTAAATGTATTAATTAAAAAAGAAAACCAGAAGAGAAGCCTCACTCATCCATCTCGATCTCAATCGTAATGAATTTTTCATTCTTTGTCAGATCGAGGGGCGGATTGTAATTGCAAAATCGATATTTCCCCATACAAATTATCATTTTAAACATGTTTTAAGTTCTTGTTTTGAAAAGATGACTACACATATTAAGAAATAAAGGCAAAATTCATATTTCTCTACAAAAATTTACCATTTTGAACATACTTTAAGTTTCGTGTTATGGAAAAAAGTTTACATATATTTTAAAAGAAGCCCGGCCCACCCGCCCTATCTCAATTGTGATAATTTTTTTTATTCGCCGTGAACCAAGGAGGCGGAGCTTAACTGCAAAATACTTATTTCTTTACAAGAAATTTGATTTGTCCGCCCTCTTGGCTGAACACGAATAAAAAAAATCATCACAATTGGGGTAGGGTGGTGGGTGGGCGGGGCTTATATTTTCCCTTTTTTTCTTAATATATGTAGTCATCTTTTCGCAACAAAAATTTTAAACAGATAACCACGTATATTAAAGAATAATATAAGCCCCGCCCACACACTTTATCTCAATCGTGATGATTTTTCTCTAACCGTTGTAATTCTTGGGGTGAAGCTTGAGTGCAAAATCCTTGTTTTTCTACTATAAATTGCTAAAATAAAAAAATCATCACAATTGAGGTAGGGTGGGTGGACGGGGCTTATATTTTGCCCTTCTTTCCTTAATATATATAGTCATCTTTTCACAATAAAAATTTAAAACAGATGACTACGTATATTAAAACATAATATAAGCCCCGCCCACCCACCCTATCTCAATGGTGATGATTTTATTTATTGGTTGTGAATCAGGAGGCGGAGCTTAACTGCAAAATCCTTGTTTTCCTACTATAAATTGCTATGAGAAATATGTTCTTAACTAATCGTGTTGTTTAAAGCAAACTATGTGTATTAAGTAAAAAAAAAAAGTCAAAAGATAAGCCCCGCCCATTTAATTTTTAATATATATAGTATTTTTTGAAAAACATTTTGCTAAAAAATATGTCCTACATGGTAATTTCTTGTAGAGAAATAAGGATTTTGCAATTAAGCTCCGCCCTCTTGGCTCACGACGAATAAAAAAAATCATCACAATTGAGGTAGGGTGGGTGGGCGAGGCTTACATTTTGCCCTTTTTTTCTTAATGAATGTAGTCAACTTTTCACAACAAAAATTTAAAACTGATGACTACGTATATTAGGGCATAATATATTAACGTAACACGTAACCGCGAAAGTTAAAAGTGGGTAATCTCGAACATCACCCCAACGACGTGCCAACTTTCAACGGATGATATAAACGACGCATACCTTCGCTACAACGGCAACGGCGAACAGCAGTTTATAAATTGACCTTTACTATGTACAATTTTGAAGTGACTTCATTACATTATTGGTGGGTATGATTAGACAAATTTTGGTTCACGTTTTACCATCTACATGAGATTCCTAATATAAATACAAAATTTGATAACAATCGGCCCAGTACTTTCGTAGATATCTGTCTAATAAAAATTGGGACGGCAGACAGACAGACGACAACGGGACACCTATTTCTTAGTACTCTAGGGGTCATGAAAGGTCGAGAACACGTAAAAATATAGATAGTCGACCGACGAACTTGATTAGAGATGGATTATTTTAAGTTCAACATGGTGAGTCATGAGGATCTGGCAACGGACTGTCAGTCAGTGGCGTAACATGCACACTTCAGAAGGGGGTAGTTTTTTAAATCGCAAACAATAACACAGGGAAACGTGAACTTAAGTGAATTGGTCAACACGCTAGCAGAAACTAAAATAAAGCAGAAACGTTGACTGGATGTCAAAAAATCTTAAATATTCGTTGTATACTCCCGAACCCACGGGAACAGTTCAAAAAAAATTAATACGCAAGTAATACCAGAAAAACAAATGTCTTCAGTGATTAAATAAATTTCATGAATCTATTAAATAAACCTTTTCTTCCATTTTGTACTTGTTTTCTTGACGCCGAATTTACACCAAAAAAGGTTCCAAGTTTTTACAATTTGAAAACTCCATTTCATCACAGCTTAATTTTTCAACGAAAAAATTGTCTTCTGACTATCCTATTATACGTAATAAAAAATAGATAAAACGAGGGATGAAATCTTCCAAGTTCCTTCTTGTTTTATTTAAAACATTTTACAAATCTTAAAGCTTATAAATATACACAAACATAAAAAGTAAACAATAAGTACATACATACGTCAAAACAGTTTTGTTTTTGAAAGCCGTTTGGACTTTCGTGTTGGCGTTTTAGCTACAAAAAAAAACAATCAGTAAACTGGAATACCGATCTAAAACCTTACCTTTCAATTCTACGTTAGTCTTGTTTAAATTATTTTCAAGATCTTCAATTTCGTCCTCAAAAAGAACCGATTTCGAGTGACTTTTGGCCGACTTACGCCCGTCCGTTTTTAAAATACTCTTGCCAGGTGTCTACAAAAACAATTAAATAGGTACTCAAAAAAAAAGTTGTACCACACAAACCTCAACACCTTTCGCGTACTGCGCCACTTTCATCATCATCAATCCCGGCGAACTTTTCCGCCGATTTTTCTCGTCCGTTTTCACCATCATTAATCTACTGCCGCTTTTCCTATTATTGGGGGTTTTCTCAACAGTTGCCTCCTGATCATTCTCACTCTCTGCGGCTTTTTTTCTCCTTGCTGCTTGAATCGCTGCCCTCAGACCTGCAGAGGCTTTTGCGTTCTTCACGGGCCTGCCCTTTTTCTTCGCAACTTTCTTCACTTCAGGCACAATTTCTTGCCAATTGTTCACTTTTAAGTTGTCTAAATTTTCATAGCGTTTGTCTAAGTTTTCCACCTGGATGTACATCATGTCCCAGAAACCGTGCAGATCTTCACACGTCACAGGCGTCTCAGAGTTGCTTTGTTGGCACGTCTCTATTAAACCCCGGAATTGCATAAATTTTTTTGTTAGCAAGAGATTCGTTTGACCGATTGTCACGTCAATGATAGAATGCGCTTCTTCTGGCACGTTTTCTTCTTCCTGCAGACATTGTTTTTACTCATTTACATCAATGATCTTTCAATTTTAGTAGAGATAATAAAGTAATTAATATACAACCTAAGTTAAAGGGTTTGTGAAACTAGAATAACTATAAGTAAGATGACGTCATCATTTTTAAAAAGGGATGAATCAAATTATTAACGCAGTCGCTTAATTGTAATAAATTTGTATATAAAAAGATGACACTTACTTTGTATTGAGCCCATTTATCCATTAAGCCAGTCAGACGAATAATTTGCTTATTTAGAATATTCATGAAGTATGCAGCCCCAGCTTTTGGAGAAGTGCACTGAGCTGAATCTTCCTTCAACGTAAAGGACTTTCTGGACTTCCGCGCTTCATATTCTTTACGGGCACTGTCTTTCCCTCTTGATACTGTAACAAAAGGACTCACATACACAGTAGCAGGAGAGGCTGTTTTCTTTGGCGTTTTGACGTCATCACTTTCACTCAAACTCTGTTTTTCTCCAGGAAAATCAGGTGACAAGAGTGAATCATTCCTACAAAAAAACATTTTGCGTGAATTTTCAAAAACATCAAAAACTAAATATTTACTGTTTTTTTTTGTTAGTACTGACTTCTTCAGGTACATTATTTTTCTTTTGGCTTGATGACGTGACTGAATCGCTACTAGAAAAATCATTTTTTCGCGAATTTTCAAAAAGACTAGCAATTACTTACCGTTTTTCTTTGTTATTTTTCTTTTCAGCCTTCTGTTTTAATTTAGTTTTTGGCACTGTTTTTTTAGCTTCAATGGGTTGAACTTGTTCGCCCCCTTTCCGAGTTTTTGATCTCGTCGTCATCCGGTGTTGTGTTTGCGGCAAATCAGTCTTGTTTTTCTCTACCCGTGTAGATTTATTTACCGAATTATTAAAATGTATCGGCTTAATATTAGCCGGCGGTTTAAACTGGTGATTTGGAGGGGCAAATTTCGATTTAAATGGCTTCCCTTTAATCTCCTTATTTACATTTTCTAAGTTAGGTAAACCTACGTTTGTAACGACCCGCGATACCTTGAAAACCGGCTTCAGGTTACTTTTCTCGGCCATTTTCCGCTTTTCTTTCTCCGCTTTCCACTTGACCAACATTTCGATTCGTTTATTAGTCGCTTTTGGTTGAGTTTCTTGTTGTGGTTGCCTTTTCACAATCTTCTCTCGATTGCCTTCTGGGGTAAAAATTGGGGACATGTTCAGTGGGATTTTTCGTTTTCCAAATAATTCTTCATGTCGATGAGTTTTCCTCTGTTCGTTCATTTTCACGACACGCTTTGTCACAGTTTCGAACTTATCTTGCTTTTTCTTATACAAACCACAATAGTGTTTTTTTAGAAACTCTGATAAGTCTTCCATTTATCGTTCTTGTGGTGGTTTTTCACGATTTAACTCACACGCGCTTTAACCGTTACCTTCGGATTTGAACGATCACAACAAACTGTTTGACGAGATGCCGTGCGGTGATTGGTTGTAAATTTAAACGAACGCACGGTGCGCCATCTGGTCGGAATGTCGAGACAACTGAGGCCGTGTATAATAGGTTGCCTATATTCAAATTGTTTAAAAATAGTTATTAATTATCGTTAAACGGGGGCAAGAATATAAATTATAACCAGAAACCTTAAACTGGAATCCTTTACTTTACAAATAAACGATAATAATGCTATCTTAATCTTAAATTAATTCTTGTTGTTTGTGCAGTTGACAGAGCTAAGTGACAATAACATTTATGGTAGTTATTATTTTCAACAAAGAAAAACAATTTCTTTTAGTTATTTATCGAGTAAGTACTTAGTGTGACAAGAGTCCTTATATGGTGCGTTATTGTGGACACCATTAAAATCAACACAGTGGTCATACAAATCAAAAAATATAGATGGTGATAAAAGTAAAGCACAAAATAAAACCGATCCTGTAGGGCATTTAATTCATGACCAAATATTTTTCGGAACAGAATTGAAATAGAGTGGCATGTTTGTTCATGTTATCAAATTTTTGCGCGTAATAATGGAGAAATGAAAAAAAAAACCTATTAATAAATGTTACTGTTATGAACACTTTAAGTACAGTTTTCCCTGTTTCGCTTAAACAAATGTACATTACGTGGACCTGTTTATCTGCGACACACGCGATATAGAAAAAAGCAGCAGTAATCATAAACTTTACGTTTCATCCATAAAAGATTAGATACATTATGTTGCAATAATAATAGGTCATCAAAAGCATTAGTTATTACCGCCTGTTGTTATCTTTAACGGTAAAAGACAAACAGCTTGTAAAAACATCTGAAACATCCGGTATCTGCTTTTTTAAATTACCAACATTACTTCCTGAATTTTATTTATACGTTGTTAATTCTGAACTGTTTAAGAGTTATGTCGATTGCACAAGGTTCGCGAAATAATTTAGTACATCAGAAGACAACTTAAACAAAATGAGTCACAGCATCACAGTGCTAAATTAAGCGACTTTAGTTCCCGTCCTTACAACTCAGTCAAGCTTAATTAAATTTTAAGACCCAAAAATAACACAGCGACTCCAAAATCACGATTTTTTGTGCGCATATCGTGACTTCATCAGATCCATTTAAATCTTCCAAATCACCTATTCTTGTAAGTAAACAAACAAATAATCACCCAATAAGGAAACATGATCGATCAAAACCATCTAACAATGAGATTAACTTCTCACAAATAAATCATTCTCAAAGGCGCGGAAGATGGGATTAAAGTCCGTAAATTAACGATTTATTTGTTACACAAAGCTTCCAATCGTTTAATAGAGGATTAGTCAAAACAGTTTTTTCTGCAAACCCAAAAGCGGAATCCATTTCGGCGCCGAGGACCATCAATACGGACGACGTGTGTGATGCACTAAACAAAATTTTTGGTGAATATTTTTTAGAATTAGAAGATATGCTTTTGACAAAAAGAAAGACATTTACCGCAACACGTAAGACTTCTTAGAAAATTTGTTAAGACACTAACATTACTTAAGAATATTGATTAAAATGTATGTATGCATCACCCTCGGAAATTTAATGACGTCATTTAAAAAACTATTTATTGAAAAATACGCTTTATTTTATCCATCTAATTTCCTGGAAACACGATACTGTTATTTGGTGGTATATCACCAAAAGTGAATGACGTCATTTCAAAAAGTTATTCAGTGAACCGTCTTTTAGATGCATATTATTAAATTCCGCTTTTTCTGCTTTAATATTCTACCGTTATTTTTATGTTACAAACTACCCACGTCTCAAAAAAATATTCACACGGTAAAATCGAGGAAAGCTCTGTTATAGTGTGTCCAGTCGTGATTTTTATAATTTTCAAGCCCTCTGCTCAGTACTTGAACTCGTTGCTCCGCGCGTAGGAAAGTACAGCACAGGACAAACTTAATGCATTGCATCCCTCCGATCCGGGTCAACTCAGACCAGTTGTTCGATCGCACTACTGAATTGCCGATCGCTTAAGTCGAGCATACCTATATTGGAGACACAGAGTACAACTAGTTTTTGTCTCAGCTTAGGTGAGTGACTTTCTTGGCGAAGGTTTCTGCTTAGTTTAGAACTGGCTTGCACAAGCTGAGCTGCGTTTGTCAGCTAGAACCGCGACGCGGAAAAGCCGCGAAATTTTCTTCAGTGGGTTAGGCAGTGTCGTGTGTCCGTCGAGCAGAGAGCCAGTTTGGTCAGGTGAGTTTTTCTGACCTCATCTTCGATTCGAACTTGCGTAATTTCGATTTTTTCGCCACTGCTAACAGGATTCGGGTTTTTTGGGCAACGTGGTGCAATTCTGATGATGGCTAGTCATAATTGGCGAAACACCGTTAGGCGAGAGAGTAATTTTGGCGATTTCGACTGTCATGTAATTGCGGCGTGGAGTAAGTGAATCAGTATTTACTTGCGGATAGAAGAAAGGAACCCGTTAGGTTATGACAAGCAAAGTCAACAACACGATGTGTTTTGACAGGATTTGTTGATTGTTTTATCTGAGGGGTTACACCTACTGGCGAATGAAATTCTGACAAAAAATTTGATTATATAGCCGGATTAGATAATCCGGGCGCGTATGCAACTGGATATCTATATTCACTTTCCTTTAGTAAAAGTCGTGGTCGTCAATGTGGGTAGGTGTAGTGAATTGGCCCAAGGTCGATGTTCAGGGGGCAACAGTCTGAAACCTACACAGATAGGTATTTGATAAGTCATCCGATTGGCGATTTTTCCTAGATCTCGCCAAATCATCTACAAAGTCACCGTCAAAAAACGAACACGGAGAAAGTCCAACAGTCCAAGTGAAACAATAAAAGAAGCTGCACTTCGCAACAATGGATAAAGATTTAGATCATCTCCTAGTAGCCGGCCGACAGCTTCCACTCTTTCTGTTTTGGCGCCGCTTATAAAGTCAATGTCATAAAAAAGGAATTTGGCATAAATTTTCTCCAGAGGTTCGACATCGGCGCTGGCATTTTTAACGACCGCTTTATTAATTAGAAGTGTCATTAAACAGCATTTCACCTTTGGTTCTCATCTAGCACAACACGAATAAAAGTTTCAATAATTTGTATGCACATAAAAACTCATTAGATGCCGAGTCGTACAATAAATTAGCGCTTTCACTTTACACAGAAATTGGATCAAATTCATTATTTTAAATGGCAGCTTAATAGATTTTATGAAAAAGACTTTAAATCATATTGCGACACTGTGAATTTTCCCGGAGGTTGGAGAAAATTGACATGCCACGAACGAGTCTTTAAATATAATATGAAGTGACGTCATGTTGAGTAGCTACAGATTTACTGTATCATTTATTTCGAACAGTTACCTAGATAGAGGTTGTTCAATTGAATTTTAAATTAATACTTGGTAGATTGCTTCCAAGTTCCAAGAAGTCGCCAGATAAATGATCACCAGTTACTGGCTTGTCAGTATGAAGGTTGTTATGAAATACTAATAATTAAAAGATCAACTCTCATATAGAGGAGTATCGCGACATTGAGCAAATTATTAATATACTAGGTGTACCTACTATACAGGGTGTCCCAGAATTCGCGCCATTCCCGTGAATGACATGTTCCCTGTCCCGAACTGTGCCGTAATTCGCAAAAAGAATTGTCCAGGCTTTAACGGTGTGAGAACTGGAAGGCGATTAAGTTGACCAATAGAGAGGCTGCTTTTATATCCGAACGTTTCTATGTTCAAAGTTACCTATGCCAAGAACAAAAAATTGGGTAATACTAAAGTTGAATGAATTTTTTCCGAATCCCCCTCCGTCAATAAAAGGAAACAGAAGTGTGGTTATAAATTTAATCATTTTGACAATTGTTTGTCATAAACTGTCACGAAGTTCATCACTGACCTGAAGAGACGCTTCTGCGCCAAAGATGACTGATTAATGTACACAGAGACGTCAAGGTTTACTTTAAGGCCAGTAGCATGGGACAGAAGTTATTTCTGCGGCCATTCTAGTTAAATTGTGTTTAACTGGGCTGTACATGTCAAAAGAGAAGCTGTTTCATTTCATCGTAGGCAAATAATACATTTATTACTATTCTACATAGTGTGGATACCAAAGAGCAGGTATTAGAAGTCATTTCCTTAGAGCCCCGTGAATAATGTGTTGTTTTTTTTAACGAAAATTAGTACATTTTCAGAATTCACTATGCATCATATCCCTGATATTAAGTTTATCGTTATTTCTAAAAAAGAGTACCACATGTCCATTCAAAGAACGTTATTAAGTGTACTAAAGAGAAGATGGATCTTTTCAGCCTAGTCGGAAAGGCCGTGCTGGGGCTCCACGGAATGTACGTGTAGGTGCTGAAGAGCAAGTGTTACAAAACATGGAAGCGGATCCTAGGAGAAATGTCCGCTGCGTAGCGCAAATGAGTGGATGCTCAAGATCGACCACTCATCGTATCCTACAAGAGAGAAGACTGCATCCTTACCATTACACGAGGGAGCAGCATCTGCGACCAGCCGACTACCCGCAACGAGTACATTTTGCTCAATGGTTACTGCGACAAAATGAACTAAATCCTGATTTTTCACGGCGCATTCTTTTCACCGACGAATGTTCATTTTCCCGAGAAGGAATGTTTAATGCACACAATTGGCATTTCTGGGCACACGAAAATTCACATCTCACTAGGGTGAGAGCATATCAGGAGCGATTTACTATTAATCTATGGCCTGGAATCATTGGCACTAGTGTGGTACAAATTTTAATACATCTGATAAAATTATCGCTAAACTCCGTTCCTGTTTATTTCGGTGGGGCCGTTTGTGTTACCTGATTACCTTAATGGGGAGGTATATGCTAATTTTCTACGACTAGAGCTTCCGACGTTGTTGGAAGACGTTCCTTTGAATGTACGGCGGAATATATGGTTTCAGCACAACTTTAAAGAAACTGTTTTAAATCATATGCAACATCAATATTATTCTTGAATAAGTCTCTGTTTTCATTATCTCCCCCACTTGATTGACACCACAGCAGGTACCTATGATCTCAATACACCAGAGAAGTGGAGTCTCGTCTATTTTTTCGTTGCTTAGATTAGGTATCAGCAACAAAGCTGTTCAGTAAAAATTGATACTGTTTATTGAAAATCATAAGCACCGATTAATCAAAAGCGATATTTATGTTTTAGTACACTTAATAACGTTCTTTGAATGGACGTGTGGTACTCTTTTTTAGAAATAACGATAAACTTAATATCAGGGATATGCTGCATAGTGAATTCTGAAAATGTACTAATTTTCGTTAAAAAGAACAACACATTATTCACGAGGCTCTAAGAAAATGACTTCTAATACCTGCTCTTCGGTATCTACACTATGTAGAATAGTAATAAATGTATTATTTGCCTACGATGAAATGAAACAGCTTCTCTTATGAAATGTACAGCCCAGTTAAACACAATTTAACTAGAATGGCGGCAGAAATAACTTCTGTCCCATGCTACTTGCCTTAAAGTAAACCTTGACGTCTCTGTGTACATTAATCAGTCATCTTTGGCGCAGAAGCGTCTCTTCAGGTCAGTGATGAACTTCGTGACAAACAATTGTCAAAATGATTAAATTTATAACCACACTTCTGTTTCCTTTTGTTGACGGAGGGGGATTCGGAAAAAATTCATTCAACTTTAGTATTACCCGATTTTTTGTTCTTGGCATAGGTAACTTTGAACATAGAAACGTTCGGATATAAAAGCAGCCTCTCTATTGGTCAACTTAATCGCCTTCCAGTTCTCACACGGTTAAAGCCTGGACAATTTTTTTTGCGAATTACGGCACAGTTCGGGACAGGGAACATGTCATTCACGGGAATGGCGCGAATTCTGGGACACCCTGTATTATGAAACATATCAAAGAAATAAATCAACAAAGTATTTAACGTGACAGAAGCTATAATTTTCAACTGACATACAGACCAAACGAAGATAAAATAAAAGGAAGATGAAATATTGTTATGATTAGAACTAACGTCCTCGGGCATCGACTAATTGCACCTACTACAAAAAAAAAAACAAAACTAGTAGTTAAATGTAGATTATTGTTGATATAGTAACGAGTAAATAGGTTTTTATAGATGTATAAAAACATATTTGATTGGATCGAATTTTTTAAAATGGGTACGATTCAAATTCACGTCAATAAACCCATTAAGGCTATTAAATTTGAAAATGAGGGCATAAAATATTACCTCATTATACTCAGTACAAAAATAAGTTCTTCATTATGTCGATAATTTACATACCAACTGTCGACGGATTATAATTCAAAATCGGTATTCTAATTAGATTAGCTCCTCAAACGTAATTAGGAAGAAAACTTTGTTTTGACAGGTTTCAACTGTAATATATTATGTATATCTCGCGGTGGAAGGTTATTAAGTAGTGTTTCAGTTTCAGGTTGCATAAATACAAGCCGATTAGAACAAGCCTCACTGACAACAGTATTAGCAATCTTCACAATAATTAATGTTGATAATTCTAATAATAAATTAGTATGAATTCCGACTGTACGGAAAATTTCTAAAAGTTGGTATAACAAAATAGGTTAATTGAGAACATAATATATTCTGTGACTATGAAACAAGGAAGTAATATAGCAAAAATTATTAACAAACTAGATCGAAATCAGAATCACGAAAATTTAAATAATAGACCACTCGAAAGAAAACTACCAAGATGTATGGGTGATTGGAAAAATGGAATGCTCTAACTACCTCCAATATATCAAGGATATCAAAAAAGTACAAGACTAAGAAATGCACCCAAGACATCGTGATTTGACGTGAAGGTCACAAAGTGAATTGCAATCAAAGACAGGAAGAGGGAATGAAATTTGTGGAGGAAGTGGTGTCAGAGTGAGAAGTTATTCGATGAAGAATCAAAGTGTTGCGACTTTTAGTACCCAATTTCTACTAAAAAAAATTCGATGAAAGTGAAATAATCGGTTGTTAATTGTTACGCAGCTGAAGCGGAAGTATTTAACAATATTTTGACATTTCCTGAAACTATACCTGGTTTTAAAGTGGTCGGTGCTATAGTTTAAAGCAAGTTATAGAGAAAAAACTTTGAGTAACACGGTTTCTGGGCAGCTAGTATTATTTTAAATATTGTTGCTAAATAAATATTTAAACAAGAATAATTGTATCGATCTTTCTCCTAGAAGTAGAACGA